ATTATTAGTTCATATTTTGCAATATTTAAAATGTTATTGTGCTTATATCATTTTTTTAGAGCATGACGTTTCTGTTTTAAAAAATTGTATATTTGTGAAAAATGTCCAACTGCACAACAACAATCTTACTATCTTCCTTTCATATGTCACGTTTTAAAAAAAAAAATTGTTTCATTCAATCATTCTAGCTATTAGTTTTAGAAAACTAGATAAAAAAATTTATTGAATAATGTGTATATTAAAGTTAATCAATTGAAAATTTAGAGTTAATCACATTAATGGTATATGCTACACTTGATGCTTTTTTATTTATTTATTTTTCTTGCAGAAAAAAGCTTATAAGTCCAATTTAAGTGAGCTGGGGTTCAATTTCAACACCAAATAATTGAAGTCTAAAATGTCTAGCTCCATGCTTGCCAAAAAGAATAGAGATAAAAATTGGCAATATATAGAATAAAATCCAAATATTTATTTCTCAGTATATTTACTTCAAAATATTATTCTGCAGCACAAATTGACCTATTTGTATGATCGAAATATAGGATTGATTTTCCACACCCCTTTCTATTAGGCGTGGAAATTGTGTCATCTAGTTATAACTTCTTCTAGTAACTTGATTAAAGTTTATCAGTATAAATAACACTTATTTTTTGATGTAATTTTCCACATATAGTCTTGACCAAAAAAAGCAAACAAGTAGAAGTATTATAATGTACTCTAAATTATATAAGACTAACATTCAGTTATAACAAAGTTTACCGAACATTTTATACATTGTCATAGGACTAATTTTCAATTACTTAGATGATTTGCAAATTAACTAGCATAGACGATAAAAAGTTATTAGGCGTATAAATAAGTTGAGTTCGAACTCTTAATATTCGAGTAGCTCGAGTCTTTATCAAACCAATCTAAGAAACAAGTTTGAATTCAATTTGTTCATTAACATTATTAATGTGCCGACCTTGAGTTGAGCTATATAAAATTATATATAAAAATTTTATTTTCCAATGTTAGTAAGTCTTAATAAATCAAACCGAAGTCACAAACAACTCAACTTACCAACATTACATGTTATGCAATAGTAAAATACACAATAGGCACCAACTTTGTAAACCCCCATAAAAGCTCTAAAAAGACATAAAATAAAATAAAAAGGTCATACATTTCTATTAGTGGTGTGTTGATAATAAAATAAAATATTGTTGACAGTGGTGTGTAGATGCCGCTATCAATGGCCTTCAGATACATGCAACTATAGTCTAAATACCTAATTTTCTTAATTACATGGGGTGATAATTAATTATTTATGATCACTTTCAAGAAGTTGAAAGAAAAAAAAAAAATGGTTGATTTTTTGGGACAAATTGATTGACACGTACGTGATACTTTGAGGAGATTTATGAGCTCATGCTTAATGTCGTCATGTGGAACATGTTCAAATGCTGGTCATATGATAATAATTTAAGATGAAAAAATACGATCATTTCACTTATCCATATTCTTTATGTCACTGACCACGAATTTAGATATACGCGTAGACGTACAATATAAATTTTTTTACAACTAATGAGTAACAATTGATAACAATATAAACAACAATTTTCATGACAGTTATTTTAATTGTGAAGTGGCGAATTTCTTTGCCAATTTCTGTCTATTTATTCGTGCAATTGTATAAATTAGTAAATTAAACTAAAACAATTAAACAGAATGTTGAGATAGTTTTGATATTCAACACCTTAATTACTTTTCTTATGTTCTTTCCTTTTTCCTTTATGAACAAATGATGCGGCAATAAAAGTATGCATGGGTTTGATTAATGAATTAATAGTCCTAATTAAAGTGTTCTTTGATATAACTCCATTTTGAATTTTTTGTTTTGAACAAGAAACTAGTTATCATTTTTTTAGCTTTTTAACAGAAGAATGAATTTTTAATAAAACTCAAGATGAATATGATAATATTTTTGGTCTGTTGATTTCACACAGAATATATTGATACTTTGATACAATACTCAACTTAATTAGTCAAGATAGAGTAGTATGACTGGCCATGTTTGATCCTTGCTAATGCTTTAAATTGATAAACCTTTAGACAATATTGATACTAATCACATTGCCATGGATTATTAACAACACACACTTGGTTGGAAATTCAAAGGCAACACTTTTTCTAGTGTGTTCTTGACCTATAATTGTACATAAAACTTATAAACCTACTTTGTTCTTAATACTTTGTTATGCAAACTAAAGTCATCATACGCTATTAGAAATCGAGTTAGCGAAAATAAACTTCTAAAGCATCCGTTACTCTCTTCATTCTAATATTTTCAAAATCAACCATCTAAATTTTATCAACGGATGACTTAATAAAGCATTGGATAAATTAATATAACAAAATAGAAAAATACATAAATATAATATCTACTCTATCTCTCCCTCACTTNTTTCTATATTGTTTGTGTGGCATGGCAATTGGGCCATTGGGCGCAAAAAAGAAGTGGTATATTCGTGCCCAACTTACTCTTATTGGTTTCTAGACGTACACTTTCTTTTAGTTCATATCTTTTCACCGTAAAAGTTACTAGTACGACACTCGTATATTACACGGGTGTCTGCTAAAAATTTTTTTCTTAAAATTTACAATTAATGAGAACAAAAATTTAAATACTTTTTATTAAAAAATGTATATTATTATATATTTTAATATGACACTTGTTACTTGTGCAACTTACTTGTGTTATGCTATAATAATTTTTCTAATTTATATAAAATATGGATGTCAAATCAAAACTCATCAAAAAATGATTAATTTGATATACTATATATGTAAAACCGATAAAAAATTCAAAAGTTATGAACTTTTGAATAATGTAGAGAACAACTACACTTCATTCATTTAATTTAATAATAAATATAATTTGGAGGGGATCGAATTAAACAATATTGATATAGGATTCTTAACATTTGATTGGTATATTTCTGGTTCAATATTGATAGTTTCACACCTATTTACACGGCATATAAAGTTGGAGGAGATAAGAATCATATTTATTTTGGAGTTGGAGGGGATAAGATTTATATTTTTTTTTTTTTTGGAATATAATTGTATTAATTTTTATCCGAACCAAAAACATAAGCATGTAATGTTACCAAATAAGCTTTCGAAGCGTGCGAGCCAACCATTTAGGCTCAGCACGTTTTGAAGTTATATTAAGGGGAACACCTATTTACACGGCATATAAAATTAGAGGAGATAAGAATCCTATTTATTTTGGAGTTGGAGGGATAAAAATTCTATTTATTTTGGTATATAATTGTATTAATTGTTATCTGAAACAAAACCGAAGCATGNCGTGATTTTTGTTTTTTTTCACAGCAAAGAGGAATAAGTGGATAGTTCATGTAATTAGCCTTCTTTTCTTACATGGTCTTGGACAAATTAAGATGATTTGGAGAAAATTTAATACAAATAGATTATTAGCAGGTATGAAAACTTTAATCACAGTATTCTAACTTTAGTGCACAGTTGCACCTCATGATCATGAGGTGCAAAACATATATAACAAAAATGAACTATAGGAAAATTGTAGTTATAGTAAAATTAACATTAAACAACCTAAACCCAACCTCAAACTTTTAAGTACTAAAAACAACAATGCTCTCAAACTGATTCTCATTATGAACCTAACTGAAGCCCTAACACCAAAAATTCTAAAAGTCGTTATTCCACGGACAAAAAAGTCTACCAAATATGCCTCTCATTGAACTATAGGTAACCATATATACATAAGATATTTCCTTTTAACTTCAACAATTGCCAAAAGTAACAATCATTATTTCCAAGAAAAAGATCTACTTAGGAAGATGTAAGTCAAAAATCCAATTTTAACATTCGACACTCAATTTGCAATTGATCATTATATAAAACAAAACTTCTGCCCAAATCCCA